AGCGATCCACGTAAAAGTATCCCAGCAGAAGTTCCCGCAGTTCCTGCCAGGAGCGGAATCCCTGGTTCCTCAGGGCCGTGGTCAATTCAGTCATGAAGAACGTGTGCTCGCGGGCCAAGAGCCGCGAGCTGCAAGCCCCCACAAAAAGGACCCAGATCAATAATTCCCGACACAGGTTGAAGTACCCGGCCGGGATCGTCGTTTCAAGTGCGACTCGGAGTCCGATAATCGGTTTCGAAAACACCGGACCCATCGCCGGGTAGAATTCCCATATGGTGGAGTTGTGGAAGAGCAAGCACGCCAGTCGGACGCAACCCTCAATCGTTGCGTCCCCCTTGGCTTCACCGGTCGCCGTGTATCGGTCAGTGTGCAGGGCATACTCAACGTAGAGCACTTCTGTATTGAAGTAATCCTCCGTTTCGTCGTCAAAGCTCTGCGACGACTTTGGATCGCCCTTGATCCACTCTGCATACCAAATAAGTTCAGTCAGGTCGTATATTGCCTTGGACATGGCATCACCAAAGACGCCGGGTATTTCAATCAACTGAATCAGACGCGATGCAGTCCTAGCATGATCCTTACTAGGGGGTATAAGGGTAAGCCCAGAGGGACGAGCGTAGCGGACGAAAGGGAAGATCGGCTTTGTGAAGGCCATGCACGCCACTCGAATGTCGGTCCTAGTTCGGGTTAGTCACGCGCGCCAAGGGCCCAAAACTTTCGCTCGGCTTCACTCACCATGATATTTGAAAGCGCACATCCGGTGGCACATCAGCAAAGCTATTTCTCATAGCAACCATCTGTCTTAACCCCGCCAGATGAATTTTCAAGTAGTCCGGATTCCCCGACGCAATCTTTTTCCGTCAGCAGGGCCGTGAAGGCAGAAACAATGTGCCATATCATACCTCGATCGTGAGTAGGATCGACACCGCAGCAATGAGTTCATCGCTAGAGGCTTTGAGCGGGTCCGATAAGCTCTCGTTGACCAAACGGATCGTCTCTCCGCGATGGTGAAAGGTGTCCAAAATCAACGGGCTCGTCTGCGCTTTGGCGGGATCAACCAGTGGAAACTCCCCGGACTCCAACGCGGCATTAGATGCAGCGACACAGATGCAGGCATGTAACGAAGCCGGATCATGTTGGACCAGGGCCGCCCAATGAGCTTGTAACCGCGGCGCAAATCGTCGTTGCAACGGATATGCCAATCGGGTCAAATTGCACAGAACTAAAAGCACTATTAACAAAGAAATATCATCTTCAGCTTGGACAAGTTGGCTTACAGTGTTGCAGATGTCGGTACATCCTATCCGAGAGAGGCGTGTGCAAAGTATTGAAGGGATCTTTCCCTCCATGGCCTAATCCATCCCATGGGGGAGAGGATCTTGATTGTACACGGCCGACTGTTTGAGTCTGTGAAGATGTACCGACGCTATAGCTGTCCACATTGCCAGTCCTCTTCGTGACAACAAGCTCAAACTGTTCCTCCTCTTCTTTGATCTGCGGTTGACCTTGATCGTGTTCCTGTTTGGCCTGTTGGTGATGCTGTGTGGAGGAGATGGCGGGTGAAGAGGTGGAAGTATTTTGTTCGAATGCGGAAGACGACGAGGCCGAAGTAGGGGCAGACGCTGACGCTGCGGTTGTGCTGGAGGAATTGGAGCTGGTGGTCTCAACAGGCTGAAACGCAAGATGCTTCCAGGTCTTGCTCTTGTAACGCTTAGTGTTCTCCAATCTCTTCTTGCGATTGTGCTCGGACATCACATGGGAGCGAATACGTTTCAGAGTCTCTTCTCGCGTTCCTTCCGAGACCGACTGCGGATCGGTATGGACCCAGAACAACGTTGACCGGCCATTGGATACATTGGTGGTTTTGCGAGTCTTGCGAAGCTTCGATGGAGCGCCCTTGCCTACATCTTGACGATTTTTTGAATCCGAGTCGGCGGAGCGCGATGCTGCAGCTGCAGATTCGTCGGGGTTGTGTGATAAGGAGGATGACGAGGGAGCGATAGCAGGAACAGTAGTTGTCACAGCCGATGAGACGGCAGGAGGATGGTAATGGAGAAGTTGAGGTTGTTGTTGTTGGTGGTGCTGATGAGCATGATTATAATTGTTAAAGATAGTACCACCAGAAGTAGTCGAAGTAGTAGTAATGGTGGAATCCCAAGCAGCTGGTTTACCTAGCATGGGTAAGACCTGCTCGTGGCCGCCGGCAGGAGAACATGCCGTTGGCTGGATATTGGAGTTCTTGGCATCCATCGGACTTCAATCAGCAATCACAGTATTTGCTGATGATCTTCATGTGTATTATTCATTGTTTCTAGAGTTGGCAAGAGGAGACAAGAATTGGAGGAAATGGGTTGGATAGTGACAAGGTGAAATGGACGGGGTACCCAAAGCCAAGGGAAATGCTGAATGGTCAGCACACTGCCCCTATCAGGAAAAGCCCATCATTTTTTTGCTAATGGTGGACTGAGCTGAGGATTAGGATGCGGTACTTTTGACCTGCACTATATTGGTGAGAATAATAGCGATAATATATGTGGGAGGAGCAGGACTGCAGAAAGCAGCCAGCGATGGAGTCGTGGGCTAGTAGCAGTAAGAAGTGACAAGACAAGAGTTGTCACTTGTTAGGGCGGTGGATGTGTCGATAGAAGAGGGGGAGGGGACAGCGCGATTATTCCATAAGCGCAGGGAATTTGGGGTCATTCTTGTGTCAGTCTCGTTTTTACTTTTATTATTTTCATTTGGTATTTTATCTGTTTTACCCTTTTTTTTTTTCCCTTCATTCACTTTTATTTTGATTTTTCTCCGGCTCAAGCTTACTCTCCCTTGATTGAAGTTGTGATTTCGATTACAACCACAACGATAACGGAACAATTTCTGGCTGAAAAGTCCTGTATCAAGCCATAACCGATGGCGTGGGTCTCCAGTGCATGTGTCCAGTCTTCAGGACTTCTACGCAATAGCGCAGATGACTACCCGAAGAAACTTGAAGAAAAAAGTGGTGACACTGATAAGAAGAGTCGAAAACACGAGGCCAGATCCCGGATGCTGTCGCTGCCGAAGACCGAGTGGAGCCCTACGCCGGTATTGATTTCATGGGAGAAGTCACTATAAACGACTGGATGTGGGATATCGGATCTCGGAATTAATTTTATGAATATCCGACGTGAATACTCCGGAGTAAAGAGGTAATATAAGTATGAAATATGAAAATTGTACGACTGATACATAAGCCAATCTTAAGTGTCTAAAGGAAGAGTAGAATTATCTCCCACAACATATGCTCTGCATTATTATTCCCTCCTTGTATTGTTGACTCGGCATTGGACCTTCTGTCTCGTCTTGCCATGGGGAGCGAACAGATGTACTCGAGTCCTCAAGCGCTGTCATTCTTTGAGCTTCATGTCAAAATAAACCGACTCCACAATCCACATGTTTTTGTTTGCGTTTCGATCGGACACGTCCTCGATTCATCGTAGTAGCCTATCTTGTAGGTTATTTACCATGTGTTTTCCAATCCCCTTGCGGCTCGCATGGATAATGTATCGGAGCCTCGCAAAGGTCCAGCTGGAAAAGATCAGCCTACAATATCAGATTAACACACTGCTATCTTCCTCATACAATCATTAACTGTTTGGTATCTATGCTTAGTCAGTTCGTCTCTATGACACAGTGCATGTGCTGGACACATGACTCAAGAGTTCCAATAATGTCTCCAAGCCAAGGACTTAGAGGATTGATTAGAGCAAACTCCATAATACATTTGATGTCTACTATTTTGATAGTACCTAGTTACGTAGTACGCAATGCGAGAGTCTGAGAGTCCCTGTCTCATTTTCCCAATCTAGTAGTTTACAGATGACCTCTCATATTGAACGGTTGAATCTCCCTCGTTGGCGCTTCTTGGAGCCTCGAACCGAATTCCACACTGCAACTCTGTGGGTACGCGACTACTTGGCCTTTGACTTTGAGCGCGTTGTGTCTGCTCTCAGTGGTTCTCAGTACAATATGAGTCTCTACTCAGCATCTGGTCTAAGCGGTACAACGAAGCAGAAATAGAATACAGACACTGCCTCATCGCCGCTGTCGACATCCCTGCATTCAACGTTGCCATCAATTGCCCCATCCCAGCCGCACCAGCAGGTGGAAAACTTGGAATTTCTGCATGGCCATGAGTCAGTTGCATGGATCGTTGACCTGACCGCCGAATCGAACCGTTGCATTCGATACCTTACAAGGTAGATACTCCGTAGACGCTGCTTTGCTGTCCGCTCGGCGTAGATCTAATTCTGACGGTATAAGCGAGCCTGGGCTGTGTAGACTGTAGACTCACGATCTGCAGTACGGCAATCATGCCTGTCTGCAGCGTATCCGGATTCCTGAAGAAGAAATTTCGGTTCTGCGTGTGGGCCTGAACAGTGCATACGAAATACGGAGTGAAGTCCTTGCTTCTTTTGCTCCCTTGCTTCGTTGCTCCACCATCTCGACACTCGACACGGGCTAGCGGCCGCCAACTGTTGAGACGTCCGAACGTCTTGGACAATCTAATATGTAGTAAGACGACCTCGTATCGCATATAACTGTCCACCATCCGCAACTCTTTTCCGAACAGATGCGTTGGGAACCGCTAATGCGACCCGCTTGAAGCAGCTCTTATGGTAGAGCCGTTGTCCGTTGGAACACCAAGGCAAAGGTGTCCCGCGTAAACTGGCGATCATTGGTAATGAGTGGATGATATCGGTTGGCGTTTCGCATACCAGAGAGCTTTTCCTTGGAATTGGATCCAATAGCACGAAAGTTAGAATCTGTACCAAGAACACGGTCGGCCCATTGATAGGTACATAGGTATGGTGTGATTCTTGAGTATCGCGAACCTAGGGACTACATGCTTCCGATAGTAAACCTTCTAGGTAGAGTTACCCTTTGTCCCAATATACTGGGGTCATACCAAACCAAATACCTATCGGGACTTTCCAAAACTGCACGCTCTAAGCTTTGCCGTACCAACACAACTTATATATATCATCCTCAATTATTTGCTATGCGCTGCTTGTCTTAACGAGAAAATGCGCCCGCGCTGCGGACTCGCTCAAGGATACAAACGCCAGAAGTCTTGATGCACGGTGACAATGCGGACAAGAAATACAGGTATATGGTAATCAGCAGAAAGACGGACGCATAAAGACGGACGCATAAAGACACAGGAACAAATGATAAGATACGCTATGTCCCGGTCAGCCATCGAGACTTCACTTCCGGTGACTATGTATGTGGATAACCTGTTATGCTAGGCCATCCCGGGCCTTGGAAAGACTGGCAGTGTTTCCAGCTGTTCGAGTCCCCCATGGTACCCTGTTGACCACCGATATGCCAGCCCTGGCCGGTTTGTTGGTTCACAAAGGCACTCTGTCGGAAGGGATTCGTGCTTCCAGTTGGGTTCGGTCGTAAGGGTGCTGCGGCTGGAGGCTGCAGCCCTTGGCTCTGCTGGGGAGGAACAGAGGAGCTCCGAGCAAAGGGATTGGTCCCTGTTCGGTGAGGCTGAAGTGGTTGCTGCGCTGGACTCTGAGGAGTCGCCTCAGTAGGTCCTGAAGTGAATTGTGGATTCACCGTCGATAGGCGTCTGGCAAAAGGGTTCGTGTTTTGGCGGCTCAACGGAGATGCCGGCACAGCAGTCCCTGTTGGTGTGCTCATCAACATTGACTGCCTGAAAGGATTGGTTGATTGTTGTTGCGGTTGCTGCTGAACACCCGGTGCGGGTTGTTGCTGCTGAGAAAATGACGCAACACCGCTTTGCGGTATGGGGCTAAGATGGGTTTGGAATCCATATGTCTGCGGCTGTGCTGAGTAGCCGCCGAACCCAGCCCCGGTTGGGGTAGACTGGAGTGGTTGCGGGACTTGCGCTTGTCCAAATTGGCTATTATTCTGCTGAGGAAAGGGCTCTCCAAAGCCGGATGGCTGACCAAAAGGGGTCCCTTGGGGCTGTTGCTGGAAACCCGTCTGCTGGGTATAGAACCCCGTCTGCTGCGGTTGGAAGCCAGTTGGCTGGAACGACATGGCTTGCTGTTGCTGCTGGGCTTGGTACGGTTGCTGGAAAGTTGTTGGTTGTGCTGTAGGCTGCGGATTGGGTTCGATAGGTTCAAAGAAGTCAATCAAGTCCGCAGGATTTGTTTTCTTCTGCGGGTTCGGTTCTGTTTGTGGGCGGCTCGGGGCGGAACCCATATTACTGGTATCCTGAGGGCCCCCAGTAATACCGGACTTCAACGCAGTGTTTGCTCCACCATTGTTTGCGCCTTTGCGAGCCAGGTACTCCCTTCGGCGAAGGTTGAAATCCGGATCATTGAGATCATCCTCGAGAAGGCGCGTCAAGTCCGTCGAAGCGTGTTTAAGTTTGGGTATTTCTAATCTGGTTGCAGATTGAAAGTGCCTAGCGACACCCAGGAACTTCACAACCTCCTCCGTTTGCGCGGTGAAGGTTTTGTAGATCTCTAGAGCGCGCTCGCTGTCCGGCCTCGACATTTCAAAATAATGCTCTAATGGCCAATCGCGTCAATACAGTCACAGCATGTCGGGACAAGGAACCTACCTAGGACATTTATTGTACCCTCGTTCATGACCGAGTATAGAGTCAGGAGATCCAATGTAAGCAAACGGAAGGCCGTAAGTGTGATTTCATTCTCCACTTCATCTGTCAGAAGCTGATGGCGAACTGTCAGTCACAGGTGTAGCACCGGTCACAGTAAGGTGAAGACCCACGTCGCAGCGTAACAAAGCCTTGATCTGCTTCTGAACAATCTCTGTTTCCCTCAGGAGACCCTTTTCGACTGTCAATCGCTTCATCCGTCCTTGTCCGCTCCGAACGTAGTCTGTCTTTGTAGCTTCGAACGCTTTTGCGCGCGCCATAAGGTAATCGGCATATCTTCGGATGTTATGCCCTTGTGATTGTACTACAGGCATGAGCCATCAGCATTGGACACGCACATTCGTCAAGACGCTTCCGTCCATTCAGCCCAGCTTGCACACTAACCTTCCGAGTATCCGCTGATTGCTAACTTGGTCGGGTTCTCCGCCATGTATTGTAAAGTGGCATCCAATTGCCCCTCTCGTATCATAAGATGGACGACAATTAGCGCCTTGAACACAATCGTCCATGTTGAATCGCGCAGTCGAAGTTGCAGTGTCCGGAATATCTCTGCAACGCCAGCCTCGCCCGTATGGGTCGCAACCAGGATGTGTTCGATGTATTTCGATTTAGGAGCTGCAAGCTGTCCATCGAGAAACGTATCAGTGACCATCCAAGATAGTATTGGCAAAGCCGAATAAATTGATTTGACTAACCTTGACCTTGGTAGCCCCTTTCACGGATTTCTCAAAATTTTGAGACATTGTCAGCAATGGTTAGGTGCCGAACTTGGGTAGCAATAAGAATCAGGGGACCGTCGCGATGGCCCTTAGCGGGACTAGTTGGGAATTCAGAACCGTGCCTGCGGAGCGAAGAGGTATTGCAAGTTGTATCTGAAAGGTGTCTAGATCGACATGTGTACATGAGCACCAGATTTGATCATGATGGTTCAAGAAGCCATGCTGTGGAGCCACTGGTTCTCACGGAATAGTCAGGAACAGAGATAAGAGGACACTGGTCAATTGACAAAGATTAATCAAGACAGAAATGTCGGATTGACCAAAATTATTAGGAATTAAATCACCCGGGTTGATGAAGAGCCTGGTGCTGGTGGTTGATTTACTGCAAGAGCTTGAGCTCGTTGGCTCGGTGGTGTTTGGTAGACGTAAGAGTCGCGGTGGAGCTCCTGGCTTAGATGATGATTTTCCGGCTACTCCAACATGACTAGCGCTGGTATGAGTATCGGGTCAACATCTGTGACGGAGTTTGATAACCACCAGTATACCAACCAACAGTCAAAGCTTCAGTTCGCTCTCAATAATTCATTTCACTCTGGAAATGAACGCACTTTATGGACATCTAAATTTACTTAATCAACTTGAAAGTTCCCAAATAATTATAGTTTTGCGATGTACAGCTCTGCAATATGAATATCCCCATCAGTGAATATATTCTCATAACACTCACAGAAACCATGCTACCGTTGATGCTCGTGTCTCAGTGCTTTGATCACAATTGAGCAAGCCACTGTTCATTCACTTCGCTCTTTTAGAGTGAGGCGTTAGTTAAACATGGGAAATGGCATTGGGCAAGAGGCGAGGCCTCTCCTCCAGCATTTGTCCCGTACCTTGACTGAAGCTCAACACTTCTTGGTTAATAGTAAATTCATTACCCTCTTCTGACCTGCCTCTCATGGACATGAAATCTTTGACCACCTCATGACCATCATTTCACGCCACCTTTCCGTCAATTGTTGTTGTGAGATCTCAGATAGCTGTCCCAGTCTGTTTACAAATTCTCTGAGACTACGGAGTACTCTTTACTACAAACCTCACTACGGCCGTCAGTCTAGCCTCTGCCTTGTGTTGCCTGTCTCTTCACCATCTCACTCTTGAATCATCTTTGTGGAATACTTTCACTTGTGTTGGTTCCTACTGCCTTACGCTCAACTACTCTCTCACCTTCTTACACAATATTCCACCGCGTGGCCTCCATTATCTCACTATACCTCTACTGTCTGTTCCTCCCAAAGATCCCAGTGGATTATCTGAAAGACAGCCTTCAAAATGCCGCTCGACTTCTCGATCAGAATTCCCCGAGTGCCGTGGAATGATGACAAAAGAATATTCCTATGCTGTCTCCACAAATTTTTTGAGAGGGACAGTACTGCGTTCAAGGAAATCTTCAATGCTAAATACAGAAGGGATTTAGAGAACAGCGGCTTCACTGATGGGAGAACTTCTAAGTCAACATTGGACTCTCAATGGGGGGACATGAGGCGACTAGGGGATCCTATTTGGGGCCGGGTCCATAAGGCTCCTCTCAACCACGGCGATTTGCTACCAATCAAAGACATGATCATCGATGTTGCTCAATCACTTGGAGCCTCGCTCGTTGAGAAGGAAATCGATGACATAGACACGTCAGGGTACCGCGCAAGGACCGCTCAATCTGGCAGGATCACTGCTTCCGACCCAGCTGCTCTAACCTCAAGTTCTGTAAGTTAGATGATGAATGTTCGAGGAAAGTTTACTAAACATGGACAGGAGAACTCTACACTCCACTCAGCTACTTTTGTTCATCACCAAAATACGTCAGGATGCCATAGTCCCAGTGTAAACGTTTTGCAATCATCAGCACAGCCCCTGACCACACATGGTGGAAAGGTCTGCTGGTGGTGCTTAGACCAAGGAGACGACGCATCTGAACCTCATGTAGGCGGGTGAGAAGCATATACAAGGAATGGTAGCTAATGTGCGCAACAGACATCTTCGACATCTCCGCGAAGCGACCACCTACCGCCGCTTCTGTACAGATGGTCGAACGCAGACTCTCAAGGGATCAATACTCCGAAGCGTTATATGGCCGGCCTATTTGCTGACTCTGGGGTCAGCACATTCCTTCCTGACGACATTGCCCCGGAAAAATTCAACGGTTATGTTCTGGATCATGTCAGCATCGCAAGCCATCCAAGCCCCTTCATCTCCACATTTCGGTCTATCCTAGCCCCCATCCACCGAGCACTGTGGGGGAAGGAAGGTGCTAGGGTCTCCATCATCGATGCAAGGAAGCTTACAGGCCCGGTGTACTTCGCCAAATCCCTTGTACAGCAGAACAAGATCCAAATCCCGGGCTACAGTGGCATAGGAGAATATCTTATATGGGGAGAGATTCAAACGCCTGCGATAATCTGCTCATTCAAGATCTCTACGCTCATCCAGATTGCGCAAGAGAATGAAGATATCGGCAGAATTCTGCAACTTGACAAAATCGCCTCCTATAGACGTGTTCGGGGAAAGCTACGAACAGTCCTTTCGAAAGAGATCGATAGTATGAATTTGGATCACGCTTCTGGTGTCAGCTTGGGTAAATTGCTCCATCTGATCAATGTGCCCCAGGCATATTATCAGAGGGTCGGCGAGGGCCTCCTCAAGTCATGGCAACTACGGAAGCAGGGAGACTGGCAGGAATTTCACCAAGGGCTTGAAGTTGGGGTTTTCACCCGGTTACGTCAAACAACCTCCAATTCATACCCAGTCAACCTGGATGTAACTCCTGCAGGAAGAGCTCTGGCCAAGGGAATTAATACAGATTATCTTGTTCAGCATGACACCGTTGTGCATGAAGAAGAGGAAGAGGAATTCGAAGAGATAGAAGGAGACGACAAAGACAAAGAGGAAGACAAAGACGGAGACGAAGAAGAAGAAGATGATGATGATAGTGACGACATTCAGTCCGTCTTTGATACGCCTTGTCCAGTTCGACTAGCATATTCTGTCTCATCTATCACGCCCCCGGACGCTCGGCGCGTCAATCGAATTGAGCTCTATAATCCCGTTACCAGAAACTGGTCTCTGGCCGAAGAATCATCCACCCCTACCGAAGTCGAGTCTTTCTCTCAAGGATCCAGCGTGATTGTCTTGGAAGACTTCGAAGAAGAAATTGAAGAGCTTGGGGATATGATCATGGGGGAGGATATCTCTGATCTGTCTACACCCGAGCACCCACCCAAGGATCGATTGGCCTCAGATCGCGAGAGGATTAAGCGTTTTCTAAAGTGAGACTTCGCCAGAACCTCTCAGGTTTGCATGCTCGAGATGGGTCTGTTAAAGGATCCAGAAGGCCGCTTTCAAAGGAGCAGAGTGAAGGACACAAGACAATGTATCTATCTACTCCTCCCGCCGTTAGATACGAGGAGAGAATAAATCAGATTCTAAGTCATGACAAGAAAATTCCATTCCCAAAGCCGCCGTGCGTGATAATCCCTTATTCCGTGGTCTGCTGTAGATATTGTATGTAACACAGGAGGATCAAATTTTTTTGTATTGGATATTTCCTGCAGGAGGGTACCCGGGACATAGAATCGTTAAAACAATCCCAACCCGCCAGATCATTTCGCTTATATCCAGTCACGCCGCTGCCCTAGGTTTTATTTTCCATGTGAACACCCCCTTCATCCATTATCGACGTTTAGAACTTGTTGAACGACTTGACGGCCTTGCCGGTACGGGGCAGGACACGCAGGACGTTGAAGCGGACCTATTAGATTAAAAGTTAGACATAATTGATTCTGAGGGTGGATTGACGACCGCTCCATGGTAATTTCCATTTCAGCATCAACCGCTGCCGGAGAACATCGCGCGGAGTCGTTGCTTGGAGGATTTCCACATACAGTCTTGCTCAGAGGACGGCACTGGCCGACGGTGACCCAGTCACCCTCCTCAACACGGAAAGCGGGAGAGACGTGAGCGGCAAGGTTCTTGTGTCTCTTCTCGTAACGGTTGTACTTGGGGACGTAGTGGAGGTATTCACGGCGGATGATGATGGTACGGTGCATCTTGGTAGAGACGACACGGCCGGTCAGGATACGACCACGGATGGAGACCATACCGGTGAAGGGGCACTTCTTGTCTGTTTCGAATTAGCAATCTGAATATATTCCTCGACGCCTAGCCAGCAGGATTTGATCCCCGGGTTTTGGAGATGAGGAACTCGAAACTCCGCGATAAAGACCACGGCACTGGATTTCAGTAGGAAACCAGTCGCGCAATTGTCCCTTGATGATGCCTCCTCTTTCGAAATTTTCTGCGCCATAATTCCTGTGATTTGCCTTTTGATATTCCGCGCGGTTTCCTCATCTCCAAAACCCAGGTAATCGTAGCCTCTGTCTCCGAATCTGAAATCCGATTTCGCCGGCAAAATCTCAGAGTAGGTCGCTCATACCGATGTAGCTGCCCTCAATGGCAGTCTTGGGAGTACGGAATCCCAGACCGACATCCTTGTACCATCTCCGGGTCTGGCCGACCTTCTTGCTCTTCGCCTTGGTCTTGGAGTTGAGGAAGATGTGAGGCTGCTTCTGGAACGCACGTTCCGACTGGACGGTCAACTCGGTAGCCATTTTTGCGAGAATTCAGGTCGACGAGGAAGCGAAGTCGAGCTGGATATAAGATTCGTCGCGAAGGGGGGTGTCGGGTCGGGGCGGTGGTCGACGTCGATGTTGAGGAAGATTTATTCGACGATGGCTCGATATTCCGTAGTGTGAGTGTGCGATGACGGCACTAAACTAAATATGGAATGGTGCGGTTCGGCTAGGGCTTTTTTGGTTTGTTTACATCGGGGTGATCACATGAGCGGCGGCCGGGAGACGCGCTTGTTGATGTATGTTGTAGTTTGTTGACTGGGTCGGCTTGATGATGTTACTTTCCGTTTGAGAACGATCGCAGTTCATAAACTGAGGTAGAAACCCATCTCTGACCAGTGATCTTGGTCATCGCCTAGACATTTTCTTGTCTATGTTCTTCTTCACCTGCCCTCATGGCGTCCAGAGGTGACTCCGCGGGGTCGGGTCGTCCGCGATCTCGCCGTTCCATTGCCCATGTGCCTCGTTCGAGATTGACGTCTGGGTTAGATAAAGAGAATGCCACAACAGATATAGGTGCGGCTCAAAGTCAAGATGGTTTTGCGAAACGTGCGGGGAAAGATAAGAAATCCCGCAGTAAGAGCTTAGGACCTGGTGGTTTGGATGCGCTTCAGGATTCAAATGGCAATCGGCGCAAGGTACTTCCTGGCCGCTCAAAATTGTTTCTTATGTAAGAAATGATATTGACTGAAGTATTATTTAGTCTACCATGGCTTTTCCGCTCAAATCTATTCTCAAACCGACAATTCCTGTCTCTCCTGTTCGAAACATTCCGTCTTTCGAAGAAACGCGCAAACAAACTCCCGCGCGCGGCGCACAACAGGACGGTGTCCATGGCAATAGTAAAGATCAAGGGAAAGAAGATCTATTGGTAGAGGTTGATACTCCCACGCAGCCGTCAGCGTCTGGCCCAGAAGATCCAGCCAATCCCTTCGATAGCTTCAATGCGTCCTCTGCAATCGCCGCCGCGAGGGAACAGGAGGAGAAGGAGAGGAGAGAGCGTGAGCGTCAGATTATACTGGAAAAGAGAGAAGCGCGCCGGAAATCGATGGGTTAGTCAATGTCTTTCCCATGAACCCTACCGTTGGCTAACACTTGTCTGCGCAAAGCGAACCGCCGCGTTTCTTTCGCTCCGGAGGCGACACTACACACGTGGAACGTCGTCGAAATCCCTGATGATTCGACTTCCTCATCTGCTTCTAACTCCACCCGGCGTGCTTCGTCCCTCGCTGAGAACCAGGCGCCGACACAAGCATCCAATCAGAGAGAACCCCCGTCCACACCTGACACTGTAGCGGAATCAGACATTGCCTTTTCTCCAGTGGAGTATCCGGATCTGCAAGAGCTCAGGAACCGTTCAACCTCAGCGTACGATGAACCTGCAACCTCGCAAGATCTGTCGTCTAGTCCATTCAGCGGAGGCTCTACAGACGGCTTGGAGGATACTGGCCTTCAAGATGTTGCAAGGGAAGATGACGATGACGACGATGATGACAGTTCCTCAGGCTCTGGATTTGATGGGGAGAGTACCGCGATGAGTATGGACGACATGTCTGTTCATTCAGCTGCGAGTGTCCGCTCAGATCGGTCGGGCTCCAGTACCAGTTCCAGCGCCCGCCTGAACGAGGCCCTACGCCAAGCAGCTAAAGAAGCTGGAACGAGAGGCATTGACTACGATGAGGATGGGGAGATGTCAATGGAAATCGCTGACCAAGAAATCACTGGCGCTTTCCAGCCTTGGATCAAAAAGGGCCAAAGGCAAAGTTTTGAATGGGAGGATATCAGCGCTTTGCATGACCAAGAGAATATCAATCCATCGCACAGCTCAATCCAGTCATCGACTGTTCCCGATGGTTCCACGGATATCGCGGACGAAGACCTCAGCATGGAGGTAACGAACGCAATTGGGCGTATCATCCAGCCAAGTCGTCGCCAGAGCACCGTCCGGCGCAAGTCAACGAGCGAAGAGACAAACTATGATGAGCAAACAATGGAATTCACAAATGTGATTGGTGGCATTAAACAATCTGCATCTCCCACCAGGTCCGCAGGCGGCGAAAGTAATGCTAGCGACGAGGAGATGACAATGGAATTCACCTCCGTTGTAGGAGGTGTTCTCAACAAACCGTTTCAGAGTCAACATGCTGAGGAAGCAAATACCACTGGGTGGAACGATGAGGATGATGGTGGCAGCATGGAAGACGATGCAGACATGGAGATGACAGGGGCAGTTGGTGGCATTCTTTCAGCAACCGGGACTCGAGATGGGCAGGACGAAGACCAAACAGCTGGAATGGAGCTCACAACTGCCATGGGACGAATTTTGCCAACGACTGTCGACGAAAACCAGAAAAGGGGCGATGCGAATTCAGAGTCGGAGAATGAACTACCGGGAAGTTCTCCCTTCCAGGAGAATGTCCGGCAATCCCCTTCAAAATCTCCAGTTTCTTTCCACTTGGCTGCTGTCGCCTCCGAAAGTGGAAGCCCCAGCTTAGCCAGTGTCAGACCTCGATCAACCAGGCAAAGCCTGAACCGTCGAATGTCGAACACGCCATCGGCACACTCGCCACACCAATCACCAGTGAAGAATACATTGACTTCGCCAAAGGACTCAACGCCCCAAGCCAGTCAATCCATGACGCCCAGCAAGACTCCTTTGAGCATGACAAGTAACCGAAGCGCATCGCCGAGGAAGCTTTTTCAGTCTGAGACCCGCCGTTCTGCTAGCAAGGATAAATCCCCTGGACGCAAGAGTCTCTTTGGATCTACTGCGGTGACCGGTGAAGCCGTTCCCCTTTTTGTATTACGCCCTCACGAGAAACGGCGTTCATCCGGTCTTGGGATCGACAAAGAAGGCCTAGGCTCGCCTCGCGTGGCTGCTATGCTTGATAAAAGACGGTCAATCGGAGAGGAGGCTCCACGCTTCGTTCCTCAGGAGCAGCCCAAATCGGGTGTGCGCTTTGAGGATCCTCTGAAACTCCAAGAAGAAGTCGACATGGAGCGCGAAGAAGAGGAGAAGCGGGAGGACGGTCATATTCCCCCGCTGCAGTTGGATCCTACGGCGAATTTAAAGGATATGATTTCGAGCCTCACACCAAAGAAGAACAAGCTCCGCGGCCGCAAGAGCTTACACGTGGGTGCTGCCCTGGGTTTATTGGGCAAGCGACCCGTAGAGCTAGACCAGGATGATGAAGAAGAGGCCGATAATACTCCTAAGCGCTTGAAGGGTCGCAACGCCAGCCCAGTGAAGAGCATTAAACTTCCGGCACCGCCGACAAAGGACGAGACGGTCGGACATTTGAAGCGCTCACCCACTCGTAAATCTGTTATTGCACCACCCACTGAAGGTAGCACGACTCCAAGTCAGGAGCCAAAGACCAGCTCCTTGTCGCTCACCCCGGCGAAAGACGTATCCGAGTCTTTCAACTCCAGTACAGAGTCAACATCAGCTGAAGAGGGAAATGTCGCTCCGCAAGATAGCGAGCCCGAGTTTGAACCTATTCAGCTACAGGATTTCTTGAACATGACTAACATCCATTTTATGGAGCTGACTACAACCAAACGAAGGCATACTACAGCCCCTGGGAGTGCGAGTAAGAGAGCGGCTAGGCTCTCTGCCGAGTCGAAGGCCGCCACAGCCAGTTTTGAGGACTGTGTCGCTGCCGGGTTCTGTACTGTGCCCATGCTTGAGTTGTATCAGCATGTAAGCTGTCTGCTTTCCCTTCGACCTAGGATGCATACTGACCGCCTCTTAGTCCTGCCGCGAGTTGAAATCCTACATCTCTGAGGGCCGACAGGTGATTCGATCCATTGAAGCCGAGACATACGCTGAGAACCCGCCACTCTTCCGAGAATATGCCACTGCTCCGCCAGACATCCGGCTGTTGATGGACAACCAGTTCCGGAATGTCAAGACCCATGCTAGATTACTGAGCAAAGCCACATGGTACGAATGGCGTATGAAGCTTCTTGAAGGTCTGAAAGAAGGCCTCCACCTGCATGTCGATGAGATGAAGACGGATGGAGATCTCTTAACAAGATATGAGACCTTGCTCGATGGCGTAGTAACTTCTCTCGTCGAGAAACAATCTGCGCTGCAAGAGGAGGCCGCAAACTTACAGCTACTTGCGGACGAGATGGAGAGTTGCGACCAGAATGAACTGCGAAATGCACGGGAGAAGCTCTCCAGTTTAGAGGATGAGATCGAGTTGAAGAAGAAGCAGCTGCAGGAGCTTCAAGGCCAGGTGCAAGAGAAGACTAACAGTCTTGAGTCGGGAGCGGAACTCAAAGCTGAGTTCTTGGCGCAGATCCAGGAAGCTGAAAGGGTAAAAGAGGAGTGCCATGGCTGGAGCGCCAAGGAAATCAGTGAATTGAAGGGTAAGATTACTCGCTCACTTGAACATTATGTATGCTCGACGATTTCTCACAAAGTTGATAGAGTCAGTTCAGAAGATTGAGCTTCAGACAGGCTGGTCTATCGTATCAGCCACCTCCTCCAGCTCACCCGCAGGCCCTTTGTTGACGATGTCCTACCGGGAGCAGCTTCAACTCGTCTTCCACCCGGTGACCTTTGCTACTGAAAACGCAGCTCAACCGCCGTCCAGCATTGACGAGAAGACAAGCCTGCCTCTTGAGTTGAAATACCACCCGAGAGACGGCGGCAAGTCCACGATTCGAGCGCCGCAGCTATCTCCTATCGCCTTGTTAGTCCTCAAGTCTCTTCAGAAGCACCTCAAAACCCTAGAGCCCAAGACAGCCACGATAGCTCCGAAGCATCTCTTGCGCTTCATCTCAAATGCTTGGAACTCCGTGCTCAGCCTAGAGGAAGAAGCCCGCATGCTTGAATTTTGCGGCGTAACTAAACTCAGGCTATCCGAGGACGAAGACAAGCTGTCGCTTAGAGCCAGGTGCACTCTCCTCGGAACTGACACAGCCGAGGGCCGAAAAACACCCGCGTCCAAATCCACAAAGAAGCACGCGAGCAATGAGAAACGGCGAATCGACGTCGACTTTGCGGTGAGGACCCGCGTGGTCCAGGGCGATGAGTCCGGC